GGCTCTTTTGAAAAGATGGGTTTTGAGGCCTTTTTTAAAAGCCTCCACGCTCTGTGGTGCTCTCATGTGGTCGGGGAGAGCGTTCCACAGACTGGGGGCAGCCGAGCAGAAGTCCCGGTCTCCCATGGTACGGAGCTTAGTCCTGGGGGGTTTGAGCAGGTAGGAGTTGCTGGAGCGGGTGGTCCGCAAGGAGGTATGGGGGGTGAGGAGTTTCTTGAGGTAGGGAGGGGCAGTTCCATGGAGACACTGGTGGGTGAGGACGGAGACCTTGAATTCTATCCTCAGTTGTACGGGTAGCCAGTGTAGTGCTTTAAGGATGGGGGTGATGTGGTCATATTTGCGCACCCTCATCAGGATCCTAGCAGCGCTGTTTTGTATGTACTGGAGCTTCTGGATGCTTTTGTTAGGGATCCCGATGAGGAGTGCATTGCAGTAGTCCAGCCTGGAGGAGACAAAGGCGTGGACCAGCTTTTCGGCGTCGGACAGGTAGCCAATGCAGATGGATGAGGATGGAGGTGATGTGGTCAGAGGATGGGGGTGATGTGGTCAGAGGATGGGGGTGATGTGGTCAGAGGATGGGGGTGATGTGGTCAGAGGATGGGGGTGATGTGGTCAGAGGATTTGGTACGGGTGATGATCCGGGCAGCAGAGTTCTGAATGATTTGAAGTTTATTGAGGATTGCTGGATTGAGACAGGGCGGAGTCTGGAGAAGAATGCAGTCCGGGTGATGTTTTTTATGTGGGGTGCAAATGAGAGGGATGTATGTGGAAAACGCTCTATGGACGGCGAAGCATGAGGTCAATAAATTAAAGGTCTCCTATTATACTTGTTTTAGGCATATATTATAGGTCTCAGATATATACAAATATATATAAAAACATGTCTCTGAAGTGTTTTGCTTTAAAGAGAGAGTAGATCTCATCAGGAGAATTCTCCCAGCAGAAACTCAGCTAAATGCTGCCGTGATGAAACTCCATATCATGTTCCAAACCACATCAAGGATTATTTCTGAAACAGTATGGAGCTCAAACTCTTTCTCTCTCTCATACCCCATTCACACCAACGGTGTTTCGGGGCCGGTTCGGTGCTGGTGCTTGAAAAGCACCGGGTTTTCCTGTTCACACCGCAGCGGAGCAGCCTCTAAGCTCCGGAATCCGGTTTGTTTCGAGCACCAAAAAGTTGTCCGTGTAGAAGCAAGAACCGCTTACGTCAGAGGGGGGCGAGATTAACCTGAGATAACAGTTAAGGCGAGTACGGCAAATAAAAGTTGTAACCAGCAGTAGTGCTGAGCAAAGTGACTAGAACGCAACCACACACTTGTAAAAAAAAAAACACGCTTTATAAAGTCAGGCAACACTAACCAGGCTTCGTGTGATTCTGTTTATTTGTACCTTACTTTGACCATCCGTTCTCTGTTATTGATCATTGTGGAGAGCAGGCAGACGTGTTGTATTATAGCATGCTATCGGATGGAATCAATACATGGGCTGCACAGGTTGTCATGTCCGACTATCACAAGTAGAATCATAATGAAAAATACGCCGGTAAAAAGTGCCTGTATAAAACGGCTTAGCAAGTAGTCAGTTTAGCTTCGGTTGCTATGCTAACATCACCCATGTTATACCAGAGAAACTTTCATAACAGCGTTGTGATGCCAAACAGCGTCAATTCAGACTGACACCAAACAGCGTCAATTCAGACTGACACACATTCACTTAAGGGGAACTGGGGATATGTAACAGCTGCTTGTGTGACAGTCAGACAGTGAATACTTTAGAGCCGTGTGAGCTAACCCGGAGCTAACGGGAGAATACACTCCCGTTGAAGAGCAGTCAGCACTGCAGCGGTCGGTAAATGCCGCTGAAACACATTAATAAACAATGAACCACGGCACTCTGGAGAAAAGTATAAGGTTGGAGAAGTCGTTATTTAATTTAATCTGGCTTCGTATGATTAAAAGCAATACGATCATCGACCCGACGCAGTCCCCGGCCCGTTGTTGTTGTGAGGTGAGCTCCGTTGGGGAGAAACTCAGCGACGTAAACTGTGACGTCATGACGCAGCAGCGGCAGCACCAGTCGGGCTCTGAGCGGTGTGAAAAGAGCCGGCGCTAAACCGAAGAACCGGTTCTGAACCAGAAAAGCTCTAGCACGGAGCTAGAAGGGGAAAAGCCTTGGTGTGTAAGGGGTATTAGGTTTACCACAAGGTGAGTTCCTTTTTATTTCCTGCTTCTTTACACATACTGTTGGAGTAGAACACCTCTGCTACGCGCCGTTCGTTGGATGAGGCTGGATCTCTATTAAATTAAGAAAGGAATTGAAAACACCGGAATCAAAGTTATAACAAATTATCTGAGTTTACTTCTAGTAGGAAACCAAACACATATACAAGTTATACAGAGTACTCGAGCACTCCGGACTTTCAGGTTTGTGATGCGATGCGGATAAATGCGTCAGGATCAAACCACTCATCAAACCAAAAAGAAATTGGACTTCAGGTTTGTGATGCGATGCGGATACAGTTATCAGGACCTGCCAACTCACCAAACCCAAAAGCATTTTTACACACACAAACATCAGTATTCATATCTGTCCTTGGGGCGGAGATGGGTCATCTCTTCCTTCCCACTTTACTCCCAAGCGAATCAGAGAGCCCCTGGGGAGGAGCTGTTTAAACTGACCACCTCCCCCAAGTGCCCTGACTGGCTGGATTCGCTTCTGGCCGGGTTCAATCAGAGGTCTGACCAGAGAGTGAGATCCCAAGCCACACCAGGTCAAAAGTCAATGTTTATCTTTACCTTATCTTACTCTACATTCCTTTCCCAGGGGATATGTTCACCTAAACTATCCTCCTTCAGACATTTAAACTCTTCTCCACCTATTTAACGATGTCTTTTAACGACTTAATGACGACATCTGCTTTTAGGGGTGATAAGAAGGATGTTGGTGTGTGAGACACAGAATCTCTGGATCAGTGAGTTTGAAAGTAAGAATAACATTCCTATTCTAAGTGACTTATCAAAACCCGTTTGTGATTACCTAAAACAGTTCAAACAATACATGTTCACTAAAATACAGTGTAGAATCATATCTTTTTACTTCAATACTCTCTCCAGTATAGGTTAGCTCTGAGTGTTAGCAATGCTAATGTAAACAAAGACCATATTACTTCCAGAACACGTCTCATTGTTTCTGACAGCAACGTTTCTGATTGGCCTGTGGGTGTAAAGCCCGCCCGCATTTTAGTAATGTCGTCATGACGTAGCAAATCTGGATCAGCTCCGTTGGTCCCCCGTTTTAGAGATGTGGGTATGGAGGAAAAGAGAGAGAAAAAGTCAGAATTTTGAGATTTTGAAAAAAAAGTCCGAATTTTGAGATTTTGAGAAAAAAGTCCGAATTTTTGAGATTTTGAGGAAAAAGTCCGAATTTTGAGATTTTTTGAAAAAAGTCCGAATTTTGAGATTTTGAGAAAAAAACAACATTTTGAGAAATAAATCTATATTTTGAGAAAAAACAACATTTTGAGAAAAGTCTGAATTGTCTGTGAATTGTCTGTGAGGCCCCGCCCCGAACACGTCTCATTGTTTCTGACAGCAACGTTTCTGATTGGCCCGTGGGTGTAAAGCCTGCCCGCATTTTAGTAATGTGGTCATGACGCAGCAAATCTGGATCAGCTCCGTTGTTCCCCCGTTTTTAGAGATGTGGGTACGGAGGAGATTTAGAGAAAAAAACAACATTTTGAGAAAAAAATCCATATTTTGAGAAAAAACAACATTTTGAGAAAAGTCTGAATTTTGAGATTTTGAGGGAAAAGTCTGAATTTTGAGGAAAAAGTCAGCATTTTGAGGAAAAAGTCCAGATTTTGAGAAAAATGTCAGAATTTTTTGAAGAAAGTCAGAATTTTGAAAACATGGTTTTGTTTTCTGACACGTTGTGAGTCTCCTGAGACACCGGGGACACATATTTATGTATAAAAGACATCAGAAAGTGCATTTTGCATGATAAGAGACCTTTAAGACAGTTTGGATATGTTCAAATGTGGAGATACATGTTATCTTGTGTTTAAAATCAGTTTCTGTGTTTCGAGGGGCATGTCTTTTATGGTCAGAAGTGTGTCAGGGTCATTGCAATTTAATTTGGAGATGTATTAAATAATGTTAACTGGAACAGAAAGCCTGAGCAGTGAGACATCAGAACGTGTTCAGCTCTGAGGGGAATCGTTTTTCACATGTGTTACATTCCCTCCTGGACTAGGGGTACAAAGGGAAGGAGCAAAATATAAAAATAACCGGGAGAGAGAAAAAAGAGAGGAAACTGATTTCTGAAGACACAAGGTGATATTTTAATTAGTCAAAAAGTAAAAACCAGCCAATTCGCAACATAAACTAATGCTAAACAAAAAATAACTTTCTTATTAAAGAAAGTGACTAAAGTACACTAAAGCACATCTCCTAACAATTAATAAAACACAGGTTAATCTCGAAGGTCTCACACAGAGCTGCACTGGTCACACATGCAGCCAGAGGAGAGAGAGGCAGGGTGTTTCTCAATCGCGAGTAAAGCTGCTGCAGAGCCACTATTTCAAGCATACTACGTCATCGAGTGCCGCCGAAGTACTGTTCCAATCTCCAGCATACTTGGAATTCTACCGAGCCCGGCGTACTCCGTTTGGAGAAATATCGAGGCTGCACATGAGTAGACTCCGCGGTCTTAAAATCCCCACAATGCTTTGCGCACGGACCAATTTCCCCAAATCTGTGGCGGAAGATGTAAGGTGGGGCCTCTCATATGACGCACACTTGCTAGCGTGTTCCACACTTCGTTTTCCGAATGCCAGGAAGTATTCTTGACTCGCTTCTGAAGCAAGATGCTCGGCAGACATGTGCTACCAAGCAAGCGTACTCGCGATTGAGAAACACCCAGAGAGACTGCAGCCTTCCTCAGGTCCTTTATGGAGGCCCTGATTGGGGATTGGGAGCACCTGAGGGAGAGGCTGCACCTGGAGACAATCAGGGGGAGAGGGGGAGAGAGACACACACACACACACACACACACACAAACACACACACACACCACGGCACGTAACACATGAATGCTGCAGAACTCCCCTTCAGATGTTCTCAGGGACTGTCATTTTGATGATTCTGTTTCCTTGTATTTCAGCCTCCACTGAGAGCGGTATTCTTTCAAGGAGATCATCACCAAAGCCTTTCTTCAGCTGGAAGTCGAGCGTTTTCGCCAGAAGTTGAGACGCCACGACGAGCGTGTGCAGCTTCGTGTCTAAATCCACCTCCAGTCTCCTTCAACGTGGCTTTCTTGATCCCTATAATCTTGAGTCACTTTCCGGATGCCGACACTTTGAACCTGCATGAAGACACGTTAACGGTCAATGTTCAGGACGTGAGAAAACACGTGTGAAAACATCAAATAAAGTCTTCAGATTAAGGTGAGGAGCATTTGATTTTGGGGCTATTTAGCTTCAATATGATGTCTTCTGTGGAACAAGCCGCCAAGAAATATCATTTTAAACAAAAGCTGAAGACACCTCTTTTCAGGTTGGCCTTGTATTAGCAACATCACCTTTTAATTTGATTTTTAATCATTATTATTCTGAAAAAGTCAGAATTTGAGATTTTGAGGAAAGCTGTCATCACAGATTAAACTTGTCTGACTGGAAGCTGCAGGTACCTTGGTGATTTTGGTGAATGTAGTTGAGTTGAGAGACACTTTCCCACAGTACTCATTGGGCTTCATGTTGTTAAGAAGAAGGACGTCTCCGACTGAAAGGTCTTTGCTCTGCTCGGTGGCCTCGTCCCACATGGTGATGGTGATTTCCTCATCTTCCTGACTCAGTTTGAACTTTTGCTGATTCGTCTTCTTCTCCTTGTGTTGCACCTTCACTTTTTTGACGGGATAGATCTGAAAAAAAGCAGCAGAGAAAGCACAAAAATGATTTCTATTTCACAAAATTTCAAAACAAACTGCCTTATATATTTAAATATAAATATTTATATATTTATATATATATACATGTCTTTTTATGCTGCTGCAACACAAACATTTCCCAAATTGGGATCAATAAAGTACTTCTTATCTTATCTTAAAAAATGTAAAAGACACATTTGTTGAATGCATTACCAACCTAACCAGGCTCCAGTGCATGAAGTAGGTCTGCAGCTTGAACTCACCTCGGTGACGGTTCCTTTGACGCTCACGTGTGTCTGGGGACGAGATGATTTGATGTATTTAATGGAGGTCAGTGGACTCTCAGGAGAAAGCAGTCTCTCAGCTTCTCTCTCGAACTCCTCCGGGACGATGACAGGTTTTGTTACTGACACGCTGCTCGATGCGTTAACCTTCACATATATTCCATCTTTTATTAGATTGCTGAAGATGTAGGAGCGCCCCTCTTTGATTTGTCGATGGTGATCTTCTCCGTACACCATCAGTTTGACGCTGGCCGCCTCGTCAGCGACGCCCAGAAAGAAAAAAAACGTCTTTATCTTGGATGTGAGCAGCTCAGATTTTTTAACAACTTTCCCAACAATGGCTTCCGTCTCAAGAATTCCACTGGATTTTAGATCAAAGATGGATTTCCTCTGCACACAAAGAAAAGAAAAGCATCTCAATGAACTCTCTCTCTCAATGAACTCTCTCTCTCAATGAACTCAGCTTTGAGACAGTAAATGTCTCAAAGCTGTACAGTAAGTGATAAATAAGAAATAAGCATTTACCCATGGAGATTTTCTATCCTGAGAGTCACGAGTCTTCAGTTTCTAACAGGGCAGGAAGAAATATGTTTACTTTATATCACACAAAGGTTTTACGGCCGTGACTCTTTAATGATGAATGTTGTGAATTGGGTAACTGCGGTGGTCGACAGGTGCCACCACGTCTCAAACCTCTTCCTCTCCAACTCTTACCTTGACAGGTTGGCTTCTCTCCAGCTGATCTTTAACAGGAGAAACAAACATCACTCAGGGTCTCGTGATCAATCAGACTTTCAGCTTAAAATATGTCTCGTTAAGACACCCAGCCCACCGGCAGCGATAACAGAACTGAACCTAAGGTTTTAAACAACGGACGATGCACTTGATGTGATTGGCCCTGGGAGCTCAATGTGTTTAAAGTGAGGTCAAATCTACCAACACTTCACCTACCTGCTGCAGGACTGGTTCCTTCCTCCGGCTCCTTCTCACGTCTCCTCTTCATCTCTGGAACATTTAAACCATGATTTACTCAGCTGAACATGATTGTTCTACACCTATGTTTATTATGTAGCAGCTCATAGAGTCCTGTTGTGAACCCGGACATGTCGAGACCCCAAAGTCTTATGTTAGAAATGTAGAGTAGGGTCCCCAGCACATACAAACTGCCGGATGCTAACCTGCAGATGTTGCACAATTAGCACAAGTTGCATTTACTAGCATATGCAGACAATATCTAAAAAAATGGCTTGGCTGATTTGGACAGTTTTTGGGGGTTATTGAAAAGTCAATTTATGACATTTTCAGGATCAAATATGTCAGTTTTAACGAGAAAGCGGCCATATCTGTACTCTCTGTGGACTGATTCTGATACATGTTTGGTTGATTTGGAAGATGTATTGGACTCTGGATCATTTGGATTGGACAGATCGCTTATTCAAAGTAAATGGTTTACAGTAGAGTTAATAATGTTCATCTTGTGCTCGCTAAATCCAATCCAATGGTCACAACATCATGGTAGTAGTTTTTTTAAGAACTTGGCTTTGAAACACATCTTTGAAGTATAATCCCACACTTGAGTAAAGTGTTATTGAGCATGCTTAACTGAACAGAGGCGTGGGATGAATTCTGTTTGTGGATTTCCTCACCATGCTGCTGTTTCTCCGGTTTGCTCCTCACTTTCTGAACGTAGGGTTTCAGCAGACTCTGAACCAAATCATTTCTCTTAGGTATCTGTTCCATCACTCTCTCAATCTCGAGGATAGACTTTTCTTTCCCGTAGAACTCAATGATCTGTCCAGGCATCTCTTCTCTGGACTGGCCGTCCTTCAGAACCCGAGGGAAACCCCTCAAACATTCCTTCATTTTTATGTACTGTGCTGAAGACAGATCCTCCAGGATGCTGGTCAGATCTCTCTTCCACTTTTCCTCTGAGATTTCCGACATCTGAAACACCAGAGAAAGGAAACAGTTTTTGCTGGTTTACACACACTCTGTAGAATAATCTCTGCAGCTCCACTCCGAGATGTTAACGGATATTCTGCTTTCAACAAATGTCCTGCGATTTGGATATTGTTGTGTATATGTTAAGTCAATGGTAAAGTAAGTCCCAACACATTGAACCACTTTCAATTCAAAGATAAGAAGATAACCACACAACCAATATCTGTATAAAAGAAAATCTAAAAGGTAAATATTGGAATCTCCCTCAAAATCCATCAATTCACAATCCAACTCAAAAAGTAAGAAAGTCGGTTTTGTTTTCTCAGAATATTTAATTAATAAACAGTTACTAAGTACATTTACTCAAGTACTGTACTTAAGTACTGTGTACTGTGTAAGGATGCCACCTGGTAACGATGCACCTGGTAAGGCTGCTACCTGGTAAGGATGGTAAGGATGCCACCTGGTAAGGATGGTAAGGATGATAAGGATGCCACCTGGTAAGGATACCACCTGGTAAGAATGCCACTTGGTAAAAATGCCACCTTGTAAGGATGTCACCTGGTAAGGATGCCATGTGGGCGTCTCTAGGTGTTCCAGGCGCGTCCAGCTGGGAGGAGACCGAGGGGCAGACCTAGGACGAGGTGGAGGGATTATATCTCTACCCAGGACCAGGTGGAGGGATTATATCTGTACCTAGGACCAGGTGGAGGGATTATATCTGTACCTAGGACCAGGTGGAGGGATTCTATCTGTACCTAGGACCAGGTGGAGGGATTATATCTGTACCTAGGACCAGGTGGAGGGATTCTATCTGTACCTAGGACCAGGTGGAGGGATTATATCTGTACCTAGGACCAGGTGGAGGGATTATATCTGTACCTAGGACCAGGTGGAGGGATTCTATCTGTACCTAGGACCAGGTGGAGGGATTATATCTGTACCTAGGACCAGGTGGAGGGATTATATCTGTACCTAGGACCAGGTGGAGGGATTATATCTGTACCTAGGACCAGGTAGAGGGATTATATCTCTACCTAGGACCAGGTGGAGGGATTATATCTACCTAGGACCAGTTGGAGGGATTATATCTCTTCGCTGGCCTGGAAGCGCCTTCAAGTCCCAAAATCAGAGCTGGTTGATGTGGGTGGGGAAAGGGAGATTTGGGGCCCTGGGGATGATTACAGATTGAAAGCTAGAGTGATTTTTTTTACATTTTGAAGATCGCTCAGAGGGCCTCATCACATAACTTTGCGTGGGGCCATAAATTGATATCTTCAATCTTAAATGGTATTGTATTTACCTATAATTCATGTGAAATGTCTTATCTATGCTGCTGTGACGATAACATGTGGGATAAATAAAGTTTATCTAATCTATTACTCACGGTAGTCAGTCTTTCCAGTCCGGGTTTTCTGTTGATCCAGTCCGGGTTTTCTGGGTGATTGTGGAGCTGTAACTTTCGGTTTGTGCAGAAAGAAAAAGAAAAAGAACTGGAGAAATAGTCCGAGGTGGAGGGAGAAAACGTTTTTTAAAGATTCAACGACTCCACTTTTGAGTTTTTACCAATACATCCATAGTTTTTACCGACCAATAAGAGTGTGTTGCTCCGAGGATCTTCCTCCGGTTGTTCTGCTGCAATGGATGGCAGAAAATGAATGTTGCCGCCAAACCTGCAACCAATCACAGTCTAGATGGGCGGGTCTGTGGGTGTTTACCTGAGAGGAAACCGGTGTCACATTACATCCTCTCCTGCGGATGTTCAGGTGTATATCAGTATGTAGTGTCTCTACTTTAAATAGTCCTCTGCTGCTGATGTTCAGGTGTATATCAGTATGTAGTCTCTCTACTTTAAAGAGTCATCTCCTGCTGATGGTCAGGTGTATATCAGTATGTAGTGTCTCTACTTTAAAGAGTCCTCTCCTGCTGATGTTCAGGTGTATATCAGTATGTAGTGTCTCTACTTTAAAGAGTCATCTCCTGCTGATGGTCAGGTGTATATCAGTATGTAGTGTCTCTACTTTAAAGAGTCCTCTCCTGCGGATGTTCAGGTGTATATCAGTATGTAGTGTCTCTACTTTAAAGAGTCCTCTCCTGCTGATGTTCAGGTGTATATCAGTATGTAGTGTCTCTACTTTAAAGAGTCATCTCCTGCTGATGGTCAGGTGTATATCAGTATGTAGTGTCTCTACTTTAAAGAGTCCTCTCCTGCGGATGTTCAGGTGTATATCAGTATGTAGTGTCTCTACTTTAAAGAGTCATCTCCTGCTGATGTTCAGGTGTATATCAGTATGCAGTGTCTCTACTTTAAAGAGTCCTCTCCTGCTGATGTTCAGGTGTATATCAGTATGTAGTGTCTCTACTTTAAAGAGTCATCTCCTGCTGATGGTCAGGTGTATATCAGTATGTCGTGTCTCTACTTTAAAGAGTCCTCTGCTGCTGATGTTCAGGTGTATATCAGAATGTAGTGTCTCTACTTTAAAGAGTCCTCTGCTGCTGATGTTCAGGTGTATATCAGTATGTAGTGTCTCTACTTTAAAGAGTCCTCTCCTGCTGATGACCAAAGAGACCAAAGTCAAAGCACATTAGAACATCAACAAGAAAAGTCATCTGTGTGTGTTTGTGAGTGTGAGTGTGAGTGTGAGTGTGAGTGTGAGTGTGTGTGTGTGTGTGTGTGTGTGTGTGTGTGTGTGTGTGTGTGTGTGTGTGTGTGTGTGTGTGTGTGTGTGTGTGTGTGTGTGTGTGTGCCATATGTGGTTAACAAGGGGGGATGGGCACATAAGTGCAAAAAACTATGTGTCTCGGTGTGTATCAGATTTAGAAAGAGGATATCTGAACCTGTTTGGATCGTACCAAATGAAATCTTGATTTGCTGTTAATTTGGAATAATACAAATATATAAAGTAGAGGGGGGGTGGGGTTATATTCTCCAAATTGTCATTGTTAATCCCTCATGACATCCAGTCAGTCCCCCCCTCCAGTGAACAATGGTTTGGCCCAAAATAAATCTTCCTTAAAACAGGATCTCATTAACATATTATAAAAGTGTGTCTTATATAGAATAAATACATTTTAAATAAGAGTTAAATAAAGGGAAATTATTAAATAAATTAATGGGAGTAAAGATTATGATGGAAATATTTATTTATTTTAATTTTTGTAAAATTGAATGGCATTTTATTTTTGTATTATCTGTCAGCTTCAGGCTTGGTGTTTTTGTTTATGAATAATAAATCAGACCAGATAAATACTAAAGTAAACAAAATAAATAAGTACGTTATAATACATTTTTAAAAAAAAAGTTAAATGACAAATAAATACATGTAAAAACACATTTAAAATACATGGTCATTATTGTTGACGTTGTTTTTCAGAGTTCTGGATCGCTGAAAATTGACCATTTCATAAACACATAAATCTCAACACCAGCTTATTTATTAATGTGAAGTTTATTAAACTAATAACTACATAAACAGGCTATCAAAAACAGGGAGATAAATTATTAAATTAAGATTTTTGAGTTTCTTTAAAAATTCAGGATTTTTAGATTTTGAGGAAAACATTCATTTGCAGAACTCCCCTTCAGATGTTCTCAGGGACTGACATGTTGATGATTCTGTTTCCTTTTATGTCAGACTCCCCTGAGAGCGGTATTCTTTTAAGCCCGCGCCACACTGTCCCGAAAATGACACCAGATGTACACACGATAAAGGAAATGTTCAAATTCGGCTCTGATCGTAACAACATCGGGCCATTCGTGAGGGCATCTTAAGCCATCGTATGACCGCCGGTTTCTCAGGCAGCAACTTCATGAGCGGTGGCAACATCTTTGGTATGCCAAAAAATTGTCGAAGGACCTTGTGAAGGTTCATTTTCGTGTTGAATTTGTGTGTCCATTTTGCCCTTCGTAAGGCCATCGTGAGGGCATCTTGTCAAATCGTGTCATCTTCGTCTGATCATCGGTGCCATCGGGCATTTTTTGCCTCATGAAGACAATACGAAGGAAACAAGAAGCTGCCCAATTGTCTTAGGAAGGCAACACGACTACGTGAAGCCCTCGCAATGCCGTCGTGTAGCCATCGTATTATAGTAGGATGACATCAAGATGGGACCACGGTGTCGGCGAAGACAGCCGAATTTGAGTAGCTCAAGCGTTTCCCATATGTCATGGTAATGTGAGGCCAGCCTCAGAGCATCTTCCTCAGTCAGTCCTGAGCAACTCTACAGAGCAGAGGCGTGTGTAACTCCCAAAGCTTCAATCACAATTCATCACAAAGGCTCTATCGAAATCAGTAGCAGTGATGATACCTGTATTAAGCAGGTGAAACAGGAGCATGAGGACACAGTGTGCTATGTTTCCTTGCAGATCGCTTCTCTGGTTGTTTTATTTCACAACAAAATCATGTAAACATATTATGTAAATAACCCAATTTGTGTTCTGTGAAACTGAAAAGGATATTACATTGTTTTTGTTACTTTCGTTGCAGTTGTATGTCTTAAATGTAATTTAGGTTAACTTCCTCTTTTATTTAGATGCTTTTATTTTTGAAGGCGAGTTTATGCTGTTGACAGGAAGTTGTTGTTTCTTCGGAAACAACATGACGGAGAAAAGTAATATCTTCTACATATAAAGACGGAGAAAATAAAGAATAAAGTCCATGTTTAAATATTAGCACCCCCCGAAGAGCCTTCGTGCCTTTGTGTGTCCTGCGGGTATAGACTACTATAACAATTCACATCTTCGTGTTGCCTTCGTGTGTTGTTCGGGCGCCATCGTGTAGCCTTCTGTAGGCATCGTACTTGCTTCGGCTGTTGCTTGGCTGTTGACCAAGTTCGGGGCCATCTTCGTGCGAAATTCACAATTCCATATTCGTGTGTCCATCTGGTGTCAATTTCGGGACAGTGTGAAGCCTTAAGGAGATCATCACCAAAGCCTTTCTTCAGCTGGAAGTCGAGCGTTTTCGCCAGAAGTCGAGACGCCACGACGAGCGTGCACAGCTTCGTGTCTAAATCCACCTCCAGTTGAGTCTCCTTCAGCGTGGCTTTCATGATCCCTCTAATCTTGAGAGTCACTTTCTGGATGCCAACACTTTGAACCTGCATGAAGACACGTTAACGGTCAATGTTCAGGACGTGAGAAAACATCAAATAAAGTCTTCGGATTAAGGTGAGGAGCATTTTATTTTGGGGGCTATATTCAATTCAATTCAAAACCTTTATTTATCCAGATGACATCCCATTGAGATCATTGATCTCTTTTTCAAGGGAGACCTGCAGCAGTAAAACATAAACAACAGAACAACAAAAGGACATATATAGCTCCGCCTATAAAAATTTCACAGACGGACCGGTGAACACACACTTCAAGTTAGACCTAACACACTTAGGTATTTTTTTGATCGTGTGACATGAATACAGGTGACACACCGGACATAACCCCGCGCTGACATTTACTTAAATAAACTTCCCCTTCATATCTTCATATTTTCAGCACACTTATGTTGACGGATGTAAAGATATCTCTCGGCTGTGATTGGTTGTTCCTCGTCACATGACAAGCTGTACACGCTGCTCCGACTCCGACTATAGGAAAAAGTCAGAAGTTTGAGATTTTTTGAAAAAAGTGAGAATTTTATGCTTTTGTGAAAAAAGTAATAATTTTGAGATTTTGAGGAAAAGATCATAATTTTCAGATTTTGAGAAAAAAGTCATTTTGAGGAAAAGTCATAATTTTGAGAAAAAGTCATAATTTTGGGGAAAAGTCAGAATGTTGAGATTTTTAGAAAAATTCAGAATATTTAAATTTGAGAATTCTTTTTTCATTTTGTTGAGATTTTTTAATAAAGTCAAGTAGAAATAAAGCTTTTTTCATGCTATTTTTGGATCTCTTTGGATTTATTGTTTCCAGTTGCTGGGCAGCGAGGAGAATCTCAAAACTGAGATAGAAAAAAAAGGGTCATAATTCCCTTTTTAATATCTATTTTAAACTGCTGTGAGAACATCCCAAGTTTTATCCACCAATTGCAAATAAAAGGACCAATTTATTGAAGCACAGGATTAACAGAATCTCTTTATTAGTAAAACATGAGATTGGAAAGGATTGAAACTCCTCAACATGACTCAAAGCAAACAGCGTTTCCGAAAATAAATGACGTGTCAGATCATTCTCATTTCCAGAATCCTCTTTCCTTGCATGTTCGCCATCACAGTGAGAGGCAGCATGTGGAAAAAGCCTTTGTTGAATTCCTCCATGGTTCTGAAGCCCATTCCCTCAGAAAGGACTTGAGTCTTTCCGTAAACTTCCTGAAAACGACCCTCAAACTGCACCTGCAGGTGAGCGTTTCTTTTGGTGGTGCGGAGTAATGTGATTACTTTAATCTTCCTGATATGCACAGGAGCAGCACTCTGATCCTGGACAAACACACAAATCACAGTCATACCAACAACTTCTCAGATAAGATAGGACTTTATTTATCCGTTAAAACTGTACACTAACAGTGCAGTAAAAAGAGCAATTACATAATTACAGGAAACATAGACGCTCACATAATTAATGTAAAATACTGTACAGTGACGAGCAGTATTTAGTAGTGCAAAAAACCGTAGTGGCAGATACGTAATTGCACGTTATTATAGAACATTATTAATAATAATAATAATAATATTGCACATGTTATATAGCAGAGAGTGTATAATGATGGTACTGGTATTTATTTTGCACATAGTGGTGGTGTGGAAGTTCTCAGTTCCCTTTACTGAAGGGAGTTATAGAGTTTGATAAAGGAGTTAAATCAGGGGCGTTTAACCCATTTTAGTCCAGGGGTCACATCATCGTTGACAATTTGAACCCGGAAATGTTGAGTACCCCAAAGTTTTATGATAGAAATGTATAGTAGTGTCTTCAGCATATAGAAACTGCCGGATAACCTGCATACGTTATGCAGACAATATTTACAAATGGTTTGGCCCATTTTGGTGTTTTAGGATCAGAAATGTCCGTTTGAACCAAAAAGTGGCCATACCTGTACTCTTTGTGGGCTGATTTTGATTAATGTTGGGTCCATTTGGAAGATTTAGTCGACACGAGGAAAAAGTCTGAATTTTGAGATTTTTAGGAAAAAGTCTGAATTTTGAGATTTTTAGGAAAAAGTCAGAATGTTTGCATTGCAGCATAAAATGACAAGGCATTGTATATTAGACAAATTAAAAGACTAGAAATAAACAATCCAAAATGTAAACATCTCAAATAGAAATAAAATAGCATTAAAAAGTAGAAAATATACAAGTTGAATTACAAATTGACTGTAGCAATATATAAAGCATGGTATCATACATGAGGAGGTGTGTGAGGATGCTTAGTCCATTTCTGACACTTTCAGGATCAAAAATGTCAGTTTTAGTGTCCCCTAAAACTTTCAAATCGACCCAGAATTAATTTGAAAAAAGTACAAATATGGCCTCTTTCTGGTTAAAACTGTAATTTCTGACCCTGAAAATGTCAGAAATGGATTCAGCATCCCCAATAACCCCCTAAAACACTCCAAAACGGTCCACATCGGCCAAGACATTTCTAAACTATTATCTTCATATGCTAATTGTGCAAATGTCCCAACATATATGCAGGTTAGCATCCAGCAGTTTCTATGTGCTATAGGGGGTCACAGCACTATTTCCTTTGTTTTAGTGCAAAAAAAACGACATTCTGATAATGTTCACATCTACTGGACACTCTTCTTACACGACATCATGAACAACCTGACATTTCTGTAGAACAATAACTGATTTCCTACCTTTGGCTTTTTTTTTGACAAAAATAAAGAACCTTGAACCTTGATCTTGTGTTTAAAAACAGTTTCTGTGTTTCGAGGGGCATGTCTTTTATGGTCAGAAGTGTGTCAGGGTCATTGCACATGAATTTAATTTGGAGTTGTATTAAATAATGTTAACTGGAACAGAAAGCCTGAGCAGTGAGACATCAGAACGTGTTCAGCTCTGAGGGGAATCGTTTTTCACATGTGTTACATTCCCTCCTGGACTAGGGGTACAAAGGGAAGGAGCAAAATATAAAAAATAACCGGGAGAGAGAAAAAAGAGAGGAAACTGATTTCTGAAGACACAAGGTGATATTTTAATTAGTCAAAAAGTAAACTTTCTTATTAAAGAAAGTGACTAAAGTACACTGGAGCACATCTCCTAACAATTAATAAAACACAGGTTAAACTCTAAGGTCTCACACAGAGACACCACACAAGCTGCACTGGTCACACATGCAGCCAGAGGAGAGCGAGAGAGAGACTGCAGCCTTCCTCAGGTCCTTTATGGAGGCCCTGATTGGGGATTGGGAGCACCTGAGGGAGAGGCTGCACCTGGAGACAATCAGGGGGAGAGGGGGAGACAGACACACACACACACACACACACACACACACACACACACACACACACACACACACCACGGCACGTAACACATGAATGCTGCAGAACTCCCCTTCAGATGTTCTCAGGGTCTGTCATTTTGATGATTCTGTTTCCTTGTATTTCAGCCTCCACTGAGAGCGGTAGATCAGCACCAAAGCCTTTCTTCAGCTGGAAGTCGAGCGTTTTCGCCTGAAGTCGAGACGCCACGACTTAAACAACACCTCTTTTCAGGTTAGCTTTGTATCAGCAACATCACCTTTTCATTTGATTTCTAATCATTATTATTCTTATTTCCTTATTTGTTCATTTTGTCTTATGTCGTCCTTTATTTTACAGAGAGGGAACATTACTTTATTTGATCATGTCAGAATTTTGAGATTTTGAGGAAAGCTGTCATCACAGATTAAACTTGTCTAACTGGAGGCTGCAGGTACCTTGGTGATTTTGGTGAACTGAGTTGAGTTGAGATACACTTCCCTTAAGTACACCTTGCGCTTCATGTTGTTCAGAAGAAGGACGTCTCCGACTGAAAGGTCTTTGCTCTGCTTGATGGCTTCGTCCCACAGGGTGACGCTGATTTCCTCAGCTTCCTGTTTCAGTTTGAACCTTTTCGTCTTCTTCTCCTCGTGTTGCACCTTCACTTTTTTGATGGGATCAATCTGAAAAAAATCAGCAGAGAAAGCACAACAATGATTTCTATTTCACCAAATTTCAAAACAAACTGCCTTATAAATATATAAATATATATAAATAAATATATAAATATTTATATATATAAATATATATATATATATAAATAAATATATAAATATTTATATATATAAATATATATATATATATATATATATATAAATATCATACCAATGACTGGTCCATTAGTTTATCTTTAGTTATCCGTGAATAAATAGGTTCATAAGATCTTGAAAAGGCATTTAAAAAATGTAAAACAAACATTTGTTGAATGCATTACCAACCTAACCAGGCTCCATGAAGTAGGTCTGCAGTTTGAACTCACCTGGGTGACTGTTCCTTCGACGCTCACGTATGTCTTGAGAGGAGATGATTTGATGTCTTTAACGGAGGTAAGTGGACTCTCAGGATAAACCAGCTCGGATTTTTTAACAACTTTCCCAACAATTGCTTCCGTCTCAAGAATTCCACTGGATTTTAGATCAAAGATGGATTTCTCCTGCAGACAAAGCAAAGAAAAGCATCTCAATGAACGTAAATACAAAACATGTCTCAAAGCTGTAAGTGATAAATAAGAAATAAGCCTTTACCCAAGGGTGTAACTTTGGTTTGAGAAGTGGGGGGGAAACAGAACAGGGGGTCCTCCGCAATGAAACATTTTCTCGATTTAATTCCACCTCCTGCCTTTCTACAAATATATTAGCTCTATATCACATGACCATGACATGACCCATGTGATTTGCAATATCGCAATATATTGTATATACTATTTGCACTATCGTATCGTGGCTTAAGTATCGCGATAGTATCATATCGTGGGGAGCCTGGTGATTCCCACCCCTACTAAGTAGAGTACTTGAGTCCATGAGTAAACCACCATTGGGTTTTCCTGTTGTACCTCTTGAATGCAGCACTTTGGCAAACATAGTGGATCTGCCCATTGATTGTTAAATACTCCAACATTGAATGGCTTCCTTGTTTGACTCTTCAGCCAGGATTCTTGATAATCAGGCTGGGTGTTTTTCCGTCGTTGTGGTGACAGAAAACCTAACCAGTCCGAGCACATTTTCTACCTGTGGAGCCAGAAGTTTCACGGCGAGGATGAGTTTCTCGATGGAGTCATCCAGGCTCTGGGTTTCGCTACCGCCGGAAACCTCTGAACAAACACGAGATTAAAAAAAAACGATAGAAATCTTCCTGGTCCATTTAGCTGAAAATGATAAAACAATAATAACAATAATAATATATGCTAAATAATATTTATAGTATATGTGTGTGTGTGTGTGTGTGTGTGTGTGTGTGTGTGTGTGTGTGTGTGTGTGTGTGTGTGTGTGTGTGTGTGTGTGTGTGTGTGTGTGTGTGTGTGTGTGTGTGTGTGTGTGTGTGTGTGTGTGTGTGTGTGTGTGTGTGTGTGTGTGTGTGTGTGTGTGTGTGTTTACCAGCTGCAGGTTCCTTCTTCTTGGGCACTGCTCCTGAGTCAGCTGGTTTGCTCGTCGCGGCTAAACAAATACATTTAAAAAGTTTAACGCACTGAAAATGATAATAATAATAATACTATATGATAAATAATACTTATACTATGTGTGTGTATTTGTGTGTGTATTTCATTTCATTTCAAACCTTTATTTATCCAGATGAGATCATAGATCTCTTTTTCAAGGGAGACCTGCAATATATATATATATATATGTATGTATATGTGTGTGTGTACCAGGGTTGGTCCTCGGTCTGGCCGTGATGCCCCGAAAATAATTATACGTCCTACGCCCACCATGGCCCCTCACACTGTTAACATCTCAAAGTTGCTTTGAAAGCGTCAGAGCAGTGGTTTGGTCTCTGAACTGCATTATGCTGCGTTCACACCGGACGCTCTAATCGCTGGAGTTTCACCACGGCTGTCAGCTGTGTTTACTCCTGTCATTCAAACAGGACACGCTGACCAGGGGGCGGGGCTTATATCCATGTAAATACTGTGGTAGAACAAAACGAACATATTTTACCGTGATTTAATTGTAATACACGTTTCAAATTGATGCTGAAGTAACTACATACTGATACCGGTTAGTAAAAACCATGAATGAATGCTTTGACAAGTCTGCAGACAGACGGCAGGGGAAACACCTTTTAAAATGCGTGTTTTCTGAATGGAGATTGGATCGATCAGGCTAAGCTAACGTTGTAGCTGCTCCGTCCAAACTCACAACAACATGATACAGACACAGATACAACAGCGACTGAATTCGCCATGACACAGACAGTCTGTGGTTTGTTCATGTTTAACTTTTGTCCAGTTTCTGAACAGGCTGATGTTTTGGTTTTCTGATTCAACGTCAGTGACGGCAGGCTGAGATCCTCTGTGTGTGTGTGTGTGAACGTGGAAACGTATGTGGGGACGTGTACGGAAACGTATGTCGGGACGTGTGAACGTGTACGGAAACGTATGTGGGGACGTGACGTATGTGGGGACGTGGCGTATGTGGGGACGTGTGCGGGAACGTATGTGGGGACGTGACGTATGTGGGGACGTGTGCAGAAACGTATGTGGGAACGAGTACGGAAACGTATGTGGGAACGTGTACGGAAACGTATGTGGGGACGTGACGTATGTGGGGACGTGTGCGGCAACGTATGTGGGGACGTGTATGGAAACATATGTGGGAACGTGTACTGAAACGTGTACGGAAACGTGTGTGGGGACGTGTACGGAAACGTATGTGGGGACGTGTACGGAAACGTATGTGGGGACGTGTATGGAAACGTGTACTGAAACGTATGTGGGGACGTGTACTGAAACGTGTACGGAAACGTATGTGGGGACGTGTATGGAAACGTGTACTGAAACGTATGTGGGGACGTGTACTGAAACGTGTACGGAAACGTATGTGGGGACGTGTATGGAAACGTATACTGAAACGTATGTGGGGAGGTGTACTGAAACGTGTACGGAAACGTATGTGGGGACGTGTATGGAAACGTGTACTGAAACGTGTGTGGGAACGTGTATCGGTTCGTGATGAAGAGCCGGCCCACAGTCTGACTTGATACCGCCCCCGTGATAAATAAATGTAATTATTGTGAAGCCAGCTGCAATGGATCATTGATCCACCAGGGGGTGCAGTGGGGTTCCACACTGGAGCTCATGTGAAATCAACTTCGATACAGTAAACTGGATGTACAGTATGTCTGGTACTAATGTATAGCGGATCTTTGTTAAGATCCATATGTCACGGATGGGATCATAGTCTGTGCTAAATAAGACATGTAATCATTTACAAAACATCACCATGTTGTTATTTAACAAAATAATGTTGTTTAGTCGAAAAAAACAAACGAGAGGAAAGCAGCCGGCTCTCGATTTGTAATCCTAATTTAATCATCATCTTCACCACGATCATTTATGTTTATGTTCGCCGAATTGACATGAAATCACTGACAAATATGAATATACTGTATTCAACTTCATTAAAATGTTATTAACGTGCCTAAACTCAGTAATTCACTAAAAATATTTATATTTTAATGGAGCCTTGTCAGGCAGATCAAGATCCGCGTAGCGGAGGGATCTTGATCCCTGGGTGTTATTTTTCCCCATAATGACCAAGTCGCTGCAAATTATCCCGCTTATTACATGGCCACATTCTCAAGTAACGACATGACTCCCAATATTAATTGAAATGCTTTTATGGATTTAGAAAATGTTTTTATTGATTTAAAAAATAGTTGTATGTATTGATTTAAATTAACATGCATCCGCTAAGAAAAATAGTCCGTTGTTACCGTTTTTTAAACAGTCAGAATGAAACGGCAGCTCTCAGCTGTGTGTGTACACTCCTAATGGCCCATCACAGCTCTCCCCCCCCCCCCTGATCTTTCTTTTCCAACAGTTAAGTTAACTGTAGGTTACTCTGAGTGACAAGCTTACAGTTAGTGAAGTAACACTTTTTTTTTTTTTTTTGTGAGTCACGACCTGGCTGTTTCATTCTAACATAACGCTCCAAATATGACTGTTTCCACTCGGACTTCAATACAGCAACACCATTGTTTGGTTTCCATGGTAGCGTGTCTCTTTAGTAGCGTGCAGTGTTGCCAACTTGGCGAATTTTTCGTTAAATTCGGCGGCTTTCCAAACCCTCCTGCTACTTATTTTTGTCAAAAGCGACGAACGACTAATTTAACGACTTGTAATGGTGTTATTAGGGACTTTTCTGGTGTTTGGAGAGAGACTCACATATTGTTCAGCAGTTAACGAGTCGCGGGTGCTGCCGTGAGCCCCTCTGCCCTCCCATAGTACTCACAGGCGCTCAGACTCACAGTTGCCTCCCGCAGCAGCTCAGCTGCAGTCAGAGCAGAGAGGAGACAGCCACACTCTCCCGAGTCGAGACTGCAAATGAATTGCTCATGAGCGGGATTTAAATGTAAAATGTAAATGTTTCTTTACTGTCACTGTCACACTATAATAAATAACTGCCTTTGCTTTGCTTTGACTCACACAGCCTCAGTCACTTAATGGAGTGACTCCTTACTATGGAGTTGGCAACACTGGTAGCGTGCACTCCTTTCCTGTAAATTACAGGTCCAGCCAGGCAAAACAGTGCCCTTCTCTTTCCCGCACTACTGTGACAGACCATGGGGCTGGGTCAGCCACTAACATATTCATATTTCTCTTCTCAAAAAGAGAAATATGAACGTTAGTTTTTAACTGAAATGATCAAATAAAGTCAAAATGTCACAGTGTTTACAAACATTGACCATACTGTTCACCAGCCCCCACCCCCTATGTTGAGTATAGCCTACTCTTTGTTTAAAACTAATTGGCCATCGGAATGTGTGTGTCCCAACCCCCCCCTGTGATATCTCTTCTCCAGCAGTCTGTAGGTTTGTGTTCGCATATTTATGCTGTCGCAGTTCCTGTTGTTTCTATCGCGCATTGCCGGTATGAAAGGGTCTGTGCCGGAAATATCAAGATAACACGGCAGGGTCCGTTACAGTTTGTTTTCATCTGATTTCAAATAAACAAAGTCTTGGCTTTCAGAATATTAAACTTGTTTCGGCAAATTTAGATGATAAATACAACTATGAAGCTTGTAATGGCATAATTACTTAAGCGGAGAACGGAGTAATTTAACGTTACAGCAGGCATAACAACAGCCGGTGTTTATTTTATTATTATATATAGTCGTTATTCATTTGTTTTAAAGCTCAATAAGGAAGATTTAAACGTTCACACACGTTGACCGGCGAAAAACTCTGCCCGGTTCCCTCGGCCCCCACCACGTTGAATAAACAGAAGGCTGCTTTTGTGGAGGAAGTTACAGCGCTACGTACAGGCTCGGCATATTTCTGCTTTTTCCAGCGGTATCCATAAATCTCTTAATTTTGACCTCAAAGTGCACCAGATTGATGCATTTAACTTCAATATAAAGAAAAACATCTTCTGTTGTAACAACAATGACATTATAAATAGTAACATAGCTGAACATGGTATTGCACATTTAGCTTTCAGTGTTACTGACCTGAGATGTTTTTATTACATGAATTAAGGTGACTGAGGCTTTTTAACATAGACTTTTCCAATGTCTGAGTGTAATATCTGCATTTTCTATTTTGGTTTGATAAGGACACATCCTGGGGATTGTGTTTACAAACATTGACCATACCGTTCACCATCCCCCACCCCCCTACTGTATGTTGATTTTGTTTGCCTACATGTAAATGGTTGGCATTCAGGCGCCGTTTACACGAGGAGAAAACTGCTTGTATCTGCATAGTTTCGCGTGCGTATAGCCCTATTATTTACACGAGGCCGATAGAAACTGACCATACAAACGACAAACGGGTCCCAAGGTGGATAGATTTGCAAACGAAACGCTCTGGGGGGTCAACCGAGTCCGTGTAATCACCTCTATACGAATATTTCCTGAAAAAATAGCGAAAAAAAAAAAAAATAGCACCTCTCCTGCTCATTGCTGTAGCAACTATCAAAAATAGCTGTGTTAATTAAACGCACAAGGGGTTCTTGAATGAAATAATATTATAAAAGGCAAACCAGAATAGTTAACGCCCAATATACTCCTTAAACAAAATAAACAGAGTCAGATTTCATGCATTGATCCATTATATTGACAAAGGAGGATCTCACCCGGTGTTTGTAGAGAATATCTCTCTTTTCTGAGCGGGTCCTCTCCACGGAGACGTCGGTCGATGCAATATCCACAGATTCGGTTTCTTTCAGTTAACTTCCCCGTAGCATTTATCCATATGCTGAGGAAATTACTATATCCCGCTGAATACCAGCAATCACCACACACACTTCCTCCTGTCAGTAGCTACTGCTAGTGCTACTGCTACTGACCATGCTACAGATATTAGTGCAAAAATCTACAGCTCCTCTACCACAACCATCAGCAACAAGTGGACATGGAGAATTACATGAACTACATGTTGCTAAATACACGGCGGGGCATGAACAGAAGGGTAGCCATGGCAACATTGCGGCGGGGGCTGCTGGGGCTGCTCTTCTTCGCTGCTTTTGGTGTATTTTGGCGGAAGTTACAGCGCCACTTACAGTCCCGGCATATGTACTACAGCGTTTCCAGCGGCCTCGTTTGAACAGACACGTTAAATGAAACAAATGCATGTGAACGGAAGACTTTTTTAAATACGCATACTGTGCATAAACGCAAACGGTCCCGTGTGAGCGGGGCCTTAGTACCTACCCCCCTCTGAGTGAATACCTGTTGTACCTGTCCGGGGCTAAGCCCATAGGACGATGCTCTGATGTCAAGCCCCCCCCGTTGACAATTCACGAGCGTCTAACTCTCTCCCCCCTCCCCCGTCCCACCTTCTAACAGAGCCCCCCCACATATCAAATCCCAATTTAACCCCTGGCCTCTGGAGCAGAAATGAAAGAGTTTTAAAAATGTTTACGTTTTGGTAAGTTTTTAGGGAAATGTTGTAATATTGCAACGTTGGCCTTAGGTGGGAGCAGAATTTCTGTATTTCTACTCACATTGTCTGAATAAATATATTGAACAACTAAGGGTTAATTTGCAGGATTGATTGCTTACTTAGCCCTATATCAGTATATAGCATGAATAATAATCACACATCACTCATATTTGTTATGAATAATCATTTATCATTTATTAAATGGTAAGTCGCTTTGGATAAAAGCGTCAGCTAAATGCAATTTATGAAAGCCTCACTCAGGATTTTTTTAACAAGTGTTTTTATTGCTCTTGGGGCATTAAAAACAAGATTTTAACTTTAGTTTTTTATATAATATCTGCATTTTCTCTTGTGAAAAACTAATTCTTAGTTTGGCCATAGTTATTTAATATATAGCGCCATCTCCTGGTTAAATCCTGAAATTGAAAATCTGGCAACGCCCTCTTGGAAAATAGTGGGAGGGCTTCACATTCCCAGATACTGGTCTTTGGCAGGTCTTAGGCAGGTAACTGGCTGGTAGTAGGCAGGAAGCAGTAAGCTGGAGTCTGAAATAAGATGCTCCATCTGTATGTGGGGACGTGTACGGAAACGTATGTGGGGACGTGTACGGAAACGTATGAGGGAACGTGTACTGAAACGTGTACGGAAACGTATGTGGGGACGTGTACTGAAACGTGTATGGAAACGTGTACGGAAACGTGTACTGAAACGTATGTGGGGACGTGTACTGAAACGTGTACGGAAACGTGTACTGAAACGTGTACTGAAACGTGTACGGAAACGTGTACTGAAACGTGTACGGAAACGTGTACTGAAACGTGTGTATGTGTACGAAGGATCAGAGAGGAGGTTCATCGGCCTTCACCACGTTCCACACATTTAGAAATATACAAAATGCAACGTTTGTTTAACAGTGTTTTCCAGGGGTCTGCTCTGGTTCTGTTTCATTTTGTACTGCTACGAAATAAGTGAAAGAGTTATGTAAAACATTTTGAGAAGGAGGTCTGGCTCTCGTCCAACACGACCCCCGCTGAGCTGACCTTTTTTTTTCTGCCGAAGTTTCTTCAACTCGTCCTTCATGCCTCTGAGCGGCTGCTGCACAGCGGCGTCCAGCCGGGGAAGGTCCTTCATCAGGCGGTCCATGAGTGTGATGGATCCCTCGGTGCTGTAGTGCTGGATGATGACGCTGGGCATGTCGCCCCGCACCCGCCCCTCCTTCAACCCCTGAGGGATCTTCTCCAGGTTAAACAGAAGTTTCCGGAACTCGTCGGCCGTCAGCTGGTCCAGGATGGAGCTCAGCGCCGTCCTCCACTTTGTCTCCAACGCCTTCAGGTCCATCTGCAAAATAATGAAGTTTTGTGAGGCTTTTGAGTTGGCTTTGTGTGGGCATGACGAGACTCTTCAGTCAACCCTGGCATTTTCAAGGGATTGGTTGGTTTAGTTTAGCACACTCTGCTGGAGGAGGAGGAGCAGCCTGAACTCAAGCCCTCCTCCTGGTCCGCATGGACCTAAACTGGGTGCTCACTCGTGCGTAATCATGGGTGGGCCACCAAAAGGCTGAACAATTATCTGTCACAGCCAGTGAATTTAGCATATTGTAAATTGTCTAACTTTCAATACTCTTTTATTTTTTACAGCATACCAAACGCTTTACATTTAGTATAGAATAGAGCAAAGTCAAATATAATATATCATATATTTTTTAAGGAGCTCCGAAGTATGGGATCAGGTTTGTGCCGTTAAGATCAAGCAAAACTAAGAGTTTAAGAGAAAAAAAAAAACTCAGTCAAGTTAAATAAATGTCATCTCAAACGTAAATCTATAACTTGCAAACAAATAATTTGTGTAATCATGTCAACTATTCGTCTTTTTATAACATATCTTTTTGTTTGCAGCTCTCTTTGCTTCTTTCTCAATTATCAGACTTTTGCCCTCGCTGCGGGCTATAGTAACCCTTAAGTAACCCTTAAAGTAAGCCTTAAGTAACCCTTAAAGTAAGCCTTAAGTAAGCCTTAAGTAACCCTTAAGTAACCCTTAAGTAACCCTTAAAGTAAGCCTTAAGTAAATGTATAATTACATGTATCTCACAGATAGATTTTCTGAACAAACTGAGTGTGAACTTACTGCGTCTCTTCCTTCAACCTCAGCCCGGGTTTTCACACTTGATCAGATTTATAAAGAGGAAGTCAGAGGAGCGGGAAGTCTGAATTTGTTTGGACCGTACCAACTGAAATCTTGAATTGCTGTCAATTTGGAATAGTACAAATATATAAGGGAGGGGGGGGGGGGTGGTTATATTCTCCTCATGACATCCAGTCAGTCCCCCCTCCAGTGAAGAATGGATTGGCCCAAAATAAACCTTTCATTTATTGAGAACAGGATCTCATTAACATATTATAAAAGTGTGTCTTATATCAAATAAATACATTTTAAATAAATTATTAAATAAACAGGAGTAAAGATTATGATGGAAATATTTATTTCTTATAATTTTTGTTAAATTGACTGGCATTTATTTTTGTATTATCTGTCAGCTTCCGGCTTGGTGTTTTTGTTTATGAATAATAAATCAGACCAGATAAATACATGTAAAAAACCACATTTCAAATACCTGATAATTATTGTTAGTTAACTTTGTTTTTCTGATTCTGGATCGCTGAACATTGACCGATTCATAAACACAACAATAACACCAGGTTCTTTATTAACGTGAAGTGTATTAAACTAATAACTACAAAAACTGGGATATAAATTATTAAAGTAAGATTGAATTTTTTTTAAAGTCAGAATTTTGAGAAAAAAGTCAGAATTTTGAGATATTTTGAAAAAGTAAACATTTCGAAGTTTGAGATTTCGAGGAAAAAATTAATTTGCAGAACTCCCCTTCAGATGTTCTCAGAGTCTGCCATTTTGATGATTCTGTTTCCTTGTATTTCAGCCTCCACTGAGAGCGGTATTCTTTCAAGGAGATCATCACGAAAGCCTGTCTTCAGATGGAAGTCGAGCGTGTTCGCCAGTAGTCGAGACGCCACGACGAGCGTGTGCAGCTTCATGTCTAATTCCACCTCCAGTTGAGTCTCCTTCAGCGTGGCTTTCATGATCCCTCTAATCTTGAGGGTCACTTTCTGGATGCCGACACTTTGAACCTGCATGAAGACACGTTAACGGTCAATGTTCAGGACGTGAGAAAACATCAAATAAAGTCTTCAGATTAATGTGAGGAGCATTTTGTTTTGGGGGCTATTTAGCTTCCATATGATGTCTTCTGTGGAAATATCAGTTTAAACAACACCTCTTTTCAGGTCGGCCTTGTATCAGCAACATCACCATTTGATTTGATTTCTAATAGTTATTATTCTTATTTTCTTATTTATTCATTTTTATCTTATGTCGTCCTTTATTTTACCGAGAGGCATCATTACTTATTTTATTGTATTTTATTTTCACAGTCAGAATTTTTTTTCAGGCCTGGATCAGGAACACTTTGGGCTTGGCCTTGAGGGGAGATTGACGAGTTGCCATGAAGATTCTCGTTATTTGTTTGATAGGGAGGGGCAGCCCATCAACCCCCAATACGACACCCTTGTTTCCGTGACTGAGAACACAGCAGATGAAGGCATCGCCATGCTGAGGAGCCTCTAGAAGATCGGTGAATTCGCTGCGAGTCCACTCCTTGACATTGAACTCCTGCAGCTGAGAAAGGTCGCACTGAGAAGCAAAGCATTCCAGCGCTCGCTCCATCTGGTCCTTGGTTTGGTCTTTACACATCAGCACTCTGAACCCCAGCCAGCTGAACACCTTTCCCAAGCTTTCTGCAGTGAAATAAAACCTAGTTAGGCTTCAACAGGCAACACCGGGATGATAATATACATCAGTCAACTCTGTAACATACCAGCATCTTTATCGGTTCCATCTCTCACGCTTTCATCTCTCAAGCTATCAGCAGGAAATGTTCATTGTTTATGATCAGGCAGAGGACGGTGGGCTGGCTGTTCAACTCGTACTGCCCGTCCTGAAAACAACAGAAACAATTTCACACAAACACAAAATGATGAAACTGGAATGGATTAGGTCTGGGCTATGTGGACACAATCTAATATATTTACACATAAAGGTTTTTGGTGAATAATAATAGCTATGTGGATATAATTGCTAAATAGTGCTGCAGATAATTACATATATTAATAAATATTCCAAAAGTGGATGCAAGTGCTCAAAACAACTCCTTCGAGTTTACTCGTTTGAAAAAGCCCGCTTGCCACTCAAAAGATGGCAGAAATGTTCAAGACGGTTACCAATGATGGAAATGTCATTTTTTTGCCATTAAATCACTTTCACTTGCTCAATAATTGATCTTGGTGTCAAATCATACATTTAATAACAACGTAGAAACAAAATTCAGACGTCAGGAATGACTCAGAAGTTGTCTAAGCCACTGGTTCCCAACCTTTTTCAGTCAGGCCCCCCTTGTGTAATTGGAAATATTTTCGAGCCCCCCCTAATCCGGTTCCCACCGAGATTGGGAGAATTGATTGTATATAGTTTTACAAACATTACATTTTCTCTGCTAATAATAACAAGACAAAAAGATCCAACTCTAATTGTATATATTATTATGGATTGAACATGAACTAAAGTGCTTGTATTGGCAGATGATCCTGTGCCACTGAATAATGTTAAGAATGTAAGAAGTATATATAATAAAATATGAATATATATTTCTTACTGCACCAGAGAGAACTTTTTTGATTCCATTTGTGTCCCTATAGTCTTTACACCGGCTTCCTGTGTGTCAAATAATAGATTTCTAAATACTGCTGCTGGTTTATAAAGCACTGAATGGTTTAGGCCCAAAATACATGTCTGATCTCCTGCTAAATGATGAACCATCCAGATCTCTCAGGTCTTCTGGTCTGCTTCCTGTCCCCAGAGTCAGAACTAAACCTGGAGAGGTTCAGTTATGATGCTCCAAACATCTGGAACAAACTCCCAGAAACCTGCAGGTCCGCTGCAACCCTGACTGCTTTTAAATCCAGGCTGAAGACTTTTCTTTTTGCAGCTGCTTTTAATTGAACTATTCATATCTTAAACTGCACTGTAACTTTTATTCATGTATTTTGTCTTTTAATGTTTATTTTGTTATCTTTGCTTTTTAATGACTGTTTTTAAATGCCATTTTCTTAATGTCTTTCATTTTTGTAAAGCCCTTTGAATTGCCTTGTGTTGAAAGGTGCTGTATAAATGAACTTGCCTATAGGGCTGCATTCTCTCATATAACCAGCAGGGGGCGACTATAATTCACTGACAGTAGAATGAGTTGTAAAGTTATGTGTACATTTGGCTCCACCTGCTGCTCACACTAGCTCCTCCTCCTCCTCCTCCCTGTGTTCGAGGAGCAGTGGAGGAGTATCGGACCTGAGAGGAGAAGCAGCTCACAGTGAGTTTTCATTTACAAACTTTACAAACTTTAAAATCAATGCAAACTTTAAACTAAAAGCTTAACTTCAAACTTGTATTTCAATCCTGACAGTGGTGTAGTTCTGATCAGTGTTGGAGAGTAACTAAGTACTCAGATACTGCAGTGTAGTGAAGTACCTTTACCATTTCCTGCTACTTCATACTTTTACTACTCTACATTCACAGGAAAATGCTTTGATCTAAAACATGTTGTGACTCACAGGGGGATGAATACATAAAGTTCCATCTTATCTTATCTTATATAAGTGGTTCCCAACCTTTTTCAGTCAGGCCCCCCTTGTGTAATTGGAAATATTTTCGAGGCCCCCTTAATCCGGTTCCAGGGCCGTCCCTAGACATTTTGGTGCCCTAGGCGAGATTATGATTTGGTGCCCCCCCCCCCCCCTCCAAGCAATACACAATAGAATATATAAAGAATAAATGCAAAATCTCTACCAAAGACCAATACACTACAAAAACTGAGGCGTATTGACATGTTGGTTATATACATAAAGAAGGTTTCAAATGTATTCAGTATTGTATGAACATGTTTTAATTGGGGGGTGGACGTCGTCACATCCTCTAGGGGGGTCCGGGGGGGAAAGATTTTTTTTAACATTTTAAAGTAAAATGCTTCAATCTGGTGCACTTTGAGCAGAATGACTAGAGACTAGATCTAGGGGAACTCTAAACACCCACATGAAAAAGATTGGTTTGCATTTTAATAATCAAATAAGTATGTGAACATAACCAATAACCCATAGCCAATAACAAATACATGTAACGTATTTTACTTTTGTTGTTCATTCATATCTTATTTTACCTTAACATTTATTTATTCATGCTTTTTTTTTTATCTCTCCAGTTTTAAACGATATTGTTGGTTTACTGTCCTATAGTATACATTGGAATGATTTCAAACCTGTTTATCCCAATAATTATAAAGGTGTGCATTGGAAATAATTTGTTTACATAAATTGCATTTATCTCTCGCTCCACTTTGGCCGAATCAACATGAGAAGCCCACAATTAGTATTGTAGCGTCTCGCTGCGGGACACACAACTTGTCAGCGCTGTCGTCTGCCCCCAGTCACGTGACTTTGTTTACAATCTGACAGCTGAAAGCAAAGGAAAGCCCTCCGGCCTCATACGGCTATGGTGATCAAATGCCTGCCTGGCTTTGGTGGCCGATCCCCGGGTCAATCTGTCCCCGGAAATGTCCCCGTTTTTAAATATGCTTTAAAAACACAAAGCGTTCGCAGCAATATCATTGTTGTAGCCTTAGCTTTAGCATTTAGCGTTAGCAGCTTCATTCTTCTTCTACTACTTATTTTACTACTTCTTCTTCTTCTTATATGTAATTGCCCACGAAATGTTGAATGAAGAACTCGTTTCAGTGTGAACTCATTCCACAGTTTGACCACAAAAGTGTTTTAAACCAGGTACGTTTTAAGTGTGTGATTACACATGTTACGTATTATACTGTATTGGTGCCGGTGCGTTAAGACCACCTCTCGTGTCGGATTTTGGAAAATGGATTTTTAGTTTCCTCATGGCAGGGACTTTTCTTCCTCTGGACACCGTCGGTTATTTACAAAAAAACACCTAAATATACTTGTTATTGTGCTTCTGTCTTTCTGTGTCTTTGCATCTGCTCCGTAAACTCTCATTAACCTGTTTAGCCCTGAGCCTGTTTCAGGTCTCAGGCTCGAAAATGACATCCAGAACAAATGACTATAACTTCTCTTCTGAAAGGGTTAAATTAATAATCTTTATTCTCAAAGTAATGATAAACCTGTGAGCTGGATGAAGAAGAGTCAGAGTCAATATAGATGTTTTTATTTTAAAGTGAATTCAGATTGAACATAGTGAACACATTACTCATAGTGGAAACCACCCTTGAACGATGGGATGGGAGACTGCGGAGTCGAGCGCAGCCGAGCAGGCTCCGGAGGAGTTAAAGGAGAGTGACAGGGAGAGGAGGAAGAGGAAGAGGGAGAGGAGGAAGAAGAGGAAGAGGAAGAGGAGGAGGAGGGCCACACTGGCTTCATGGATGGAGTTGGCTTCAGTGTGATGATATAAACAAGGTCTTCTGTCGGCTCATCTTCCTCCTCGACCTCCTCCTCGTCCTCCTCCTCCTCCTCCTCCTCCTCCTCCTCCTCCTCCTCCTCCTCCTCCCCCTCCTCCTCCTCTTCTCCCTCACCCCCTGGAGGACAGAGTTAGACTGATGTTAGAAATAGGAATGGATATATAATTCGACCCCCAAAAAAACGGTGAACTGAATTTACATATCATATAAATGTTTTTGTGTTTTTGTTTGAATGTTTAACAGAATACAAAAAATAAAACGCATATGCCTTTATATAATAAAATATATATTATATACATTATATATACATACATATATGCAGGGCTGCCCCTGGCCAACTTGTGGCCCCACGCAAAGGTGTGTCATGAGGCCCCCCGGCCGCGGGAAGTCATTTTACAGAAACATGAACATAATAGTAACCGGCAAAAAAGCCCTATGTCTATGATATGCTGCTGTATACAGCTAATTATATTTTAAGTAAAATCAGAACTATTTTATGTAGTTTAATTAATTTTTATTTAGGTGGTCGCTCAGTTTTTCAAATGTAGCACCTCCAGCACCCCTACTTCCTGCGGCTATGCCCCCCAGGTCTGTACACAAGGCATAATTGCACCGCATTTGCACATAATATGAGACCCCCTCCGCAGGATGATGCCCCAAGCAGGCTGCGTGATCTGCGTGTAGGGAGGGCCACAGGGGCGCACCTTGCAGACAGGAGGGGCCCCCAAAGAAGGTAGATTAAGAAGGTCCACAGCAACAACAACACGAAACACTCTTTAATTTACTGCAACGACATGTCGGGAAACCCCCCCAAAGGGTCCCCATGCATAGCACGCCATCAAAAGCTGCTTTATAATTTCTGTGTCTCAGGGCTTCTTAACATTTAACAACCTATTAATGTGTCATACCCACTTAACGGGAAGAAACTCAGCTACCTGACGATATGAACCATTGTTACCTAAACAAAACACAACTCTAACGCCGAGCGTCTGAATTAGCACTAAGCCAAAGGGTGCTAACGCACTTAGCACATTACTCACGGTAGCAATATTTTATACTTCATGCAATCTGCACAAACTAGATATCATATGAAAGCTGAGATTTCACAGATTCCAGAGGTATAAGTATCATCACTCGGCGACCAAAACTCACGGCAGCAAAAGCCAGCAAAGACAACACACAACTTAGCTTTACGGAGCCACAACGGCAAATACTTCTTACCTTTGCTGTTTCCTGATCAAAGGTTGTGTTCAATGGCATTAAAACGCATATAAACGCTGCTGAAGGTTAATCCATATATTTTTCATATAGAGTGTATGAGAGCTTCCGGTTTTGGGCATGCTGGCTGCGCATCACTCTCATTCACCAATGGATAATGTTTAGATGGATTTAGGAACCTCCCCTCGATTCTATTGGCTCTAACGGTTCAAAAGAGATGTCAATCATCAAAATCGACCGATGGGTTCCAGAGATATGGCAAATCCACCCAAATTACCCCAGAGGTGGGTTTTTTCTTCTAAACCTCTCTGAAAAGGTCAAATGTCACTTGTTTTGCATCAATCTTGATACAGGGTATTTATTATTATACTATAGATTGAACATAGTAAAAAAATGTAAATTATAGTGTCCGTCAAAAAAAAACAACATTACTTATAGTGAAAACCACCCTTGAATGATAGGATAGTAGACTAAAAGCTTAAGGAATCCAAACTATAATATATAATAAGTACCCTGTATCAAAATTGATGCAAAAGAAGTGAAATCTGACCTTTTTAGAGAGTTTTGCAAAAAAGACCTCACCTTTGTGGTCATTTGGGTGGATTTGGGTGGATTTGCCGTTTCTCTGGAACCCATTGGTCGATTTTGGTGATTGACATCTCTTTTGAACCGTTAGAGCCAATAGAATCGAAGGGGAAGTTCTACACACACACACGTTACCATTGAAAAGTGAGAGTGATGCACACGCAGTCGAAAGCTATGTTACGGTCTGAAAACTGAAAACTGAAACCTAGGCTCAAACTAGTAAATATGAAGATGGATTATCAGTAATCATTTCAAAGTGACACAGACACATTGGATTAACCTTCAGCAGGGTATTTATCGTTTTAATGCCATTGAACACAACTTTTGATCAGAAACAGCAACAGGTAAGACATTTCCCCGTGTTTGCTCCGTAATGCTACGTGGTGTGATGTCTGGGTTTGCTTCCCACGTCGCGATGTCCAGGATCCTTAGAATTCTACCGAGGACTGAATCCTTCGTTGCGGGAAATTAATCCCTACAATGCTTTGCGCAAGCACCAATTTCCAAAAATGTTGGCGAGAATGGCTGAATCCAGGCAGTACACATTTAAATGTAAGTATGTTCAGTGGCGTAGTAAATGTGCACACGACTTGTGTTTAAAGTAGGGCTGTCAGTTGATTCAAATATTTAATCGCGATTAATCGCATGATTGTCCATAGTTAATCGCGATTAATCGCAAATTAATCGCACATTTTTTATCTGTTCTAAATGTACCTTAGAGGGATATTTTTCAAGTTTGTAATACTCTTATCAACATATGAGTGGACAAATATGCTTTATATGTTTGTTTATTATCATTTGAACAATGACAAATATTCTCATGAATATATTAAACAACCTCTGAACATTACAAATATTCGCCTCAATTCAACCTGGAACCTCTCATACAATAATACAATACAAAGTGTGTGTGTGTGTGTGTGTGTGTGTGTGTGTGTGTGTGTGTGTGTGTGTGTGTGGTGTGTGTGTGTGTGTGTGTGTGTGTGTGTGTGTGTGTGTGTGTGTGTGTGTGTGTGTGTGTGTGTGTGTGTGTGTGTGTGTGTGTGTGTGTGGGTGTGTGTGTGTGTGTGTGTGTGTGTGTGTGTGTGTGTGTGTGGAGACACTGTGATGGATCGTTGGAGCTATGTGCAGCTCAAGGCATATATGCTCAAACAGGAGCTGCCTGGACGCTGCAATCATGTTGCGCGCACTATCCGTGCTGAGTGTGCTGACTTTTCGCACAATGTCCCACTGTCTGGCTACCTGCATAAAGTCAAGTGCTCGGCGCAGTTGTCGGCGAAATGTCGCTCCTCTGTTTTCATTGAAACAGCTCCTTATATCCGTTAGCGCAGCTAGCTAGCACCAGATGCTAACAACAACAACAACACGTAAGGTGTGCCTCGCTCGCGCCACACATACACACACCCTCCCGGTCCTCCCGATGGCCAGTCCGGGCCTGCCGGTGAGCGTGGAAGTGTGGTCTGCCACAAGCGGGCGGCAGGGAGCGGGGCTGTCAGCATCAGCTTGTAGATGGTATTTTAAACTCGATGCGCTCTGAAACTACGGGGCGGCCGAGGACAAAAAATACACATGCATTAATCGCGTTAAAATAATTAGTGGCGTTAACGCGTTATTAACGCGTTAACTTGACAGCCCTAGTTTAAAGTTTATAGTCCGTTTGAGTTTTGCCCGTGTGAACGCAAACCAAACCTTCTGAAAAATGAAACAGTGGAACAAAAAGTGACTATTAGGTTTGAATGAGACCTTAGCGTTTTTGCGAAAATGATAAATATAATAATATCACATGATAAATAGTGTGTGTGTGTGTGTGTGTGTGTGTGTGTGTGTGTGGTGTGGTGTGGTGTGTGTGTGTGGTGTTGTGTGTGTGTGTGTGTGTGTGTGTGTGTGTGTGTGTGTGTGTTGTGTGTGTGTGTGTGTGTGTGTGTGTGTGTGTGTGTGTGTGTGTGTGTGTGTGTGTGTGTGTGTGTGGTGTGTGTGTGTGATGTGTGTGTGTGTGTGTGTGTGTGTGTGTGTGTGTGTGTGTGTGTGTGTGTGTGTGTGTGTGTGTGTGTGTGTGTGTGTGTGTGTGTGTGTGTGTGTGTGTGTGTTACCCAGCTCCAGGTTTCTTCTTCTTGGTCGCTGCTCCCGAGTCAGTTTCTTTGCTCGTCGCCACTAAACAAATTGTTAAGCATATTTGTATAAGAACAAAGTCATGTTTCAGTTCATGTGTATGACGTCATCAGAATGTGCCTGAGTGAAAGAAACGTGGTCATGCTAATGAGCATGCGCAGATTCAATAAACGGCCCGTACTCCAGGCCAAACTCTGAGCGATGTGGTCGTGTGTGTTTTTCTGTCCGTAGCATACTTACAAACTACTTTGGTTGACTGCAAACGTGGAGACTTCTGCTGAATATAATGTCTCACGCAACAGGTTATGGGCCCAGTCAAGGAGGCCAAAGGTGGTTTAAGTTGTTATTCGACGGTGACGAGAAAAACTTTGAGTTATGGGAGACGAGGTTTTTGGCGCACATGGAACTGCGCGGCCTCAGTGAAGTTATCCTGGAAGAGCCAGCGATAGACTACAACAACGAAGAAGCACTTGACGAAGACGCAACAAAGAATGCAGAAGCATATGCTGAATTAGTGCAGTGTCTAGATAATAAGAGTTTATCACTCATAATGAGAGACGCAAAACGAGATGGAAGAAAAGCGTTGGCAATACTCCGAGAGCACTACGCAGGAAAGGACAAACCACGAGTCGTGAGCCTGTACTGTGAACTCTCTTCTCTCCACAAAGCAAGCAACGAGACTGTTACTGATTATATTATTCGAGCGGAGACTATATTCACGTCTTTGAGAAGGGCCGAAGAAAATATCAGTGACGGGTTGCAGATTGCCATGGTAGTGAAGGGGTTACCGGACTCATTCAACCCGTTTGTCGTGCACGTCACTCAAACCAACGACCGTCTAACGTTCGGTGACTTCAAAGCTAAACTGCGGAGCTATGAGAGCACTGACAAATATAGGACGAGTGACATGAATGCGGATGAGGACGGCGTTATGAGCAGAGTTCCCGTTAGCCGGTAATTACCGGACAATGACCGGTAAAATATGCTGAAGTCCGGCAAATCTAAATCTCTCCGGTCAAAATGTCCGGTCAAAATAATTTTCCCTTAGCGCAATACCGCATCAGTTGCGCCACTTATGTGACAGACAAGAATAGTATGTGACAGACAAAAGAGTATGTGACAGACAAAAATTGTCAATTCTAATGTCTAACACTTAATGTGGAGAAAGAGATGTCCTGTATGGGTTGATTGTGCGTTGATCTGTTGGTAATGCCTCGGGGTTCCGGTGGGCATGTAAACAAATGCATAATGCTGCGCTATACTTTGTGGCCTCATCCGGTTGCATAGCGACGCTTATTGTTTAGGTGTCTTTTAACAAGCAGGTAGTCATATCATTAGCTAGAACTAGCTAGATCTGATCGATATGGACATAAATGCGAGTAAAGTCTAATCTGACAGGAGAGAGAGATCGGCTGCTGCTGACGAGTCGACACGCAGCTCTGCATGATCCCCTGCAGCGGCGAGCAGAGCAAAACACACTTCAGGTTAGAAAATCACACGTAGCTATTTTAATTACCTCTCAAACTACCTAAACTAGTTATAGATATGTTTAGTTTTACTGTCGGGTCACTCATTACTGGATCCGCGAGCTGCATGATACTGACGGGCTGTCAGGAGAAGGAGAGAGCGCTCCGTTTATTATTCCCGCGTTTTTGTAAATTACTGTACACTTTTGAATAATGTAGTTAATCTACTATAATTAGTTTGTTTAATGTCGAATCATATCAATTTGTTTTAAAGCTCAATAAATAACAAAGAAGACCTTTAACCGGCACTTATCTAATTTTGTCCGGAAGATTTCAACTTTAACGGACATGTTGACCGGCAAAAAAATATTCTAACGGGAACTCTGGTTATGAGGACTAGCGGGGCAAGGACACGAGGACGTGGAAGAGGGAAGAAGATGGACTTGGCCGACACTGAATGCTACACATGCGGAAAGATGGGGCATATGGCTAGGACATGCCCTAACGAGATCCAAGCGAGGCGAGAGGAGCGACGGTGGGACACGCCACACCGAGGACGAGGCCGAGGCAGAGGGCTGGGCCGTGATCAGGTGAAGAAGGCAGACGGAGACACGGAGGATGATACCGGTGCATCATTCTTTTTCAAAATAAGTGACTGTCAAAATCAAGTAGGAAATAAGAGAGGTCTTATGGTCGACTGTGGTGCCACGACGCACATGATTAATGACCCGGCAAAGTTTAAGACAATCGATAAGAGCTTTAGACCCGAGGACCATGTGATAGAGCTGGCAGATGGAACGAAAACGACCGGGATGGCGAAGATGAGGGGAGAAGCCGAAGTTGTTCTGCTCGACAGCGAGGGACGGCAAGTGAAAACGAGGCTCAAACGAGCGCTTTACATCCCATCTTTTCCACAGGACATTTTCTCCGTGAAAGCAGCGACAGCCAGTGGAGCTGAGGTCCGCTTCAAGGACGGTGATGATTGGCTGATTCATCAAAATGGTACCAAGTTTAAAATGGATGTGTATGGTAGGCTATATTACCTTAGCACAGTAGAGGATGAAAATACTGATGATGTTTGTAATGGTTGTCATGACATCCAGACATGGCATAGAATACTTGGTCATTGTAATTTTGAGGATGTGTCTAAACTAGAGAAAGTGGTTAAAGGTATGTCGATCAAAGGGAAACATGACATGTCTAACCATAACTGTGAAATATGTACGCAGGGAAAATTTACTCAAAGCAGAAACAGGCAGGCAGATGTAAAAGCTAAGACAGTACTGGAGCTAGTACATACAGACCTATGCGGTCCAATAGAACCAGCAGATAAAGACGGGTACAGATATGCAATAGCATTTACTGATGATTATAGTGGGATGATTTTTCCCTACTTTATCAAAGCAAAGAGTGATACAGCAAAAGCTACTGAGAAATTCATAGCGGATACTGCTCCATATGGACACATTAAGTGCATAAGATCTGACAACGGTACTGAATTCACCGGGCATGAGTTTCAAACTTTACTTAGGACGAAAGGGATAAGGCACGAGACAAGTGCACCATACTCACCTCACCAGAACGGTACTGCCGAGAGAGGTTGGAGGACCTTATTTGAGATGTCACGATGCATGCTATTAGAGAGTAACCTCCCAAAGCAGTTATGGACATATGCTGTACAAACAGCAGCACAGATACGTAACAGGTGTTACTGTAAGCGTCTAGAGCAGACACCATACCGTGTTTTTACTGGCAAAACACCCAACTTGTCCAACATGAAAATATTTGGCTCTGAATGCTACGGGTATAAGCAGGATAAGAAGAAGCTAGATTCTAGATGTGCAAAGGGTATTTTTGTAGGATACGACAAATATAGCCCAGCATTCCAAGTATTTTATCCTGAGACAGGGAAAGTCCTGAAACATAGGCTGGTAAAATGTATCACAAAGAGTAGCGCAGATAGTCAGACTCAGACAAATCGTAATATGGATGATGACACTTATGGAGAAATTATTCCCACAACACCAGCAGGGACAAAAATGGTCAACCAGAATCAGAGAGAGCCTAATGTGGGTGTACAGTCCGATAGTGAGGAGAATATTGAGGCTAGTCAGATCCAGACAGATAGTACTCAAAGAGAACAGGGAGAGAGTGCACGACGCTATCCCACTAGACAAAGAAACGCTCCAGAATATTTATTGGAGTATCAGTGTAAGGCTGATTGTAATGATGAAGGTGAAAATGTAGATTATTTCTACAGAGTTGCTTGTGACGTACCCAAAACATACATGCAGGCTGTAGGCTCGAAGAAATCAAAAATGTGGGCTGATGCAATGAAAGAGGAGATTAACTCTTTAACAGAGAATGAGACCTTCAGTCTGACCACACTGCCAAAAGGCAAGCAAGCAGTGGGAGGTCGTTGGGTATATGCAGTAAAGGAAAGCCCAGATGGATCTGAGATTTTTAAAGCCAGATATGTAGCTAAAGGCTATAGTCAAGTAGAGGGAATTGATTACAAGGAAACTTTTTCACCGACAGCAAATATGACTTCTGTACGTACTTTGATGCAGGTGGCTATACAGGATGATCTTATCCTACACCAAATGGATGTGAAGACAGCTTATCTCCATGCACCAATAGACTGCGAGTTATATATGGAACAGCCCGAAGGTTTTGAGGCAAAATCTAAAACAGGGGAACACTTAGTGTGCAAACTCAACAAGTCATTGTATGGTTTAAAGCAATCCGGGCGGAACTGGAACAAGTTACTGCATGATCATCTTACAGAGAATGGGTTTGTGCAAAATGATGCTGATCATTGTGTCTACAGAAAAGAGTCTGAGAACGAAAGAGTTATTCTGTTGATATGGGTAGATGACCTACTCATAGCAGCCAATAACAACGGCTCACTCGGTGAAGTCAAAGAGATGTTGCAGAGGAAGTTTAAAATGAAAGATTTGGGTGAACTTAAACACTTCCTAGGTATCGACTTTACACAGAGTGAGGGGGAGATCAAAATGAGCCAAAAGAGACACATAGCAAAGATGCTAGAGAGGTTTGGCATGTCAAAGTGCAAACCAAGGTCAACTCCATGCGAGCAAAAGTTACATTTTGACAAAGGCAAAATTTGACAAATTCAAAGGGTATTTGTTTGGAGAGTAATGTGAATTGCAGGTGTAAAAATTGAACACTGCTAGAGAAGTTTTTTTTGTTTATTTGGATTCTGTGTACCACTGTAGAGAGTTATTAACATGTCTTTGAGTGGGAGTGTTAAGCATATTTGTATAAGAACAAAGTCATGTTTCAGTTCATGTGTATGACGTCATCAGACTGTGCCTGAGTGAAAGAAACGTGGTCATGCTAATGAGCATGCGCAGATTCAATAAACGGCCCGTACTGCAGGCCAAACTCTGAGCGATGTGGTCGTGTGTGTTTTTCTGTCCGTAGCATACTTACAAACTACTTTGGTTGACTGCAAACGTGGAGACTTCTGCTGAATATAATGTCTCACGCAACACAAATACATTTTTAAAAGTTCAACGCACCGAAAATGATAAATATAATAATATCACATGATAAATAGTGTGTGTGTGTGTGTGTGTGTGTGTGTGTGTGTTTACCAGCTGCAGGTTTCTTCTTCTTGGTCGCTGCTCCTGAGTCAGTTTGTTTGCTCGTCGCCACTAAACAAATACATTTTTAAAAGTTCAACGCACCGAAAATTATAAATATCATAATAAAACATGATAAATAATGTATTTACTGTGTGTGTGTGTGTGTGTGTGTGTGTGTGTGTGTGTGTGTGTGTGTGTTTACCAGCTGCAGGTTTCTTCTTCTTGGTCACTGCTCCTGAGTAAGATTGTTTGCTCATCGCCGCTAAACAAATACATTTAAAAAAGTTCAACGCACCGAAAATGAAAAAATATAATATACATCTCTGAGGAACTGCACACGGCTAAAGCAGCCTCCCTCTCCTCTGTCATCATCCTGTTGGACCTGTCTGCTGCATTCAACACGGTGAACCATCAGATCCTCCTTCGCACTCTCCAAGAACTTGGAGTTTCAGGCTCTGCACTTTCCCTCCTCACCTCATACCTCAAAGACCGTACCTACAGGGTCACTTGGAGAGGGTCAGAGTCCGACCCTTGTCGATTAACTACAGGGGTCCCTCAGGGCTCTGTTCTTGGTCCCCTCCTCTTCTCCTTGTACACAAACTTGCTCGGATCTGTCATTAGCCCGCATGGTTTTTCATACCACTGCTACGCTGATGACACCCAATTAATTCTGTCCTTTCCCCGCTCAGAGACCCAGGTCGTCGCACGCGTCTCTGCTTGTCTAGCAGACATCTCTCAGTGGATGTCTGCTCACCACCTCAAGCTCAACCTTGACAAGACTGAACTGCTTTTCCTTCCGGGAAAAGATTGTCCCACTCTTGACCTAACAATCAACATCGTACCTCTACTGTTTCCCCGACTCAGACTGCAAGGAATCTGGGTGTGACCCTAGATAACAACTTGTCCTTCACTGCAAACATCACTGCTACAACCCACTGCTGCAGATACAGTCTTTACAACATCAGGAGGATACGTCCCCTCCTGACCCAGAAAGCCACATAGGTTCTGGTCCAGGCTCTCGTCATCTCACGCCTAGACTACTGCAACTCCCTCCTGGCTGGTCTACCTGCATGTGCCATCCGACCTCTGCAGCTCATCCAGAATGCAACAGCTCGTCTGGTCTTCAACCTTCCTAAATGTTCCCACACCACGCCGCTCCTCCGCTCACTTCACTGGCTTCCAGTAACTGCTAGAATCCACTTCAAAACACTGGTACTTGCGTACCATGCTGCGAATTGATCTGGCCCTTCCTACATCCAGGACATGGTTAAACTGTTCACCCCAGCACGTGCACTCCACTCTGCATCGGCCAAACGGCTCGCTGCACCAGCACTGCGAGGGGGACCCAAGTTCCCATCAGAAAAAACAAGTGGGTTTGCTATCCTGGCTCCAAAATGGTGGAATGAGCTCCCCATTGAAATCAGGACAGCAGAAAGCTTACACATCTTCCGGCGCAGACTGAAAACTCATCTCTTTCGACTCCACTTCGAGCGATAGAATTACTAACAAAGAATTTCTAACAAAGCACTTATATACTAACAAAGGACTGGCTTATCTAAAGCCAGTTGAGTAGCACTTGAAATGTTTTGGCTCTATGAAACCTGATGTACTTATATGATTCTTTTTTCTTCAAGTTTGTATCTTCTTGGTCGAATGCACTTATTGTAAGTCGCTTTGGATAAAAGCCTCAGCTAAATGCAATGTAATTTAACTCATGATAAATAATGTATTTACTGAAAATGAAAAAATATAATATACATCTCTGAGGAACTGCACACGGCTAAAGCAGCCTCCCTCTCCTCTGTCATCATCCTGTTGGACCTGTCTGCTGCATTCGACACGGTGAACCATCAGATCCTCCTTCGCACTCTCCAAGAACTTGGAGTTGCAGGCTCTGCACTTTCCCTCCTCACCTCATACCTCAAAGACCGCACCTACAGGGTCACTTGGAGAGGGTCCGAGTCCGACCCTTGTCGATTAACTACAGGGGTCCCTCAGGGCTCTGTTCTTGGTCCCCTCCGCTTCTCCTTGTACACAAACTTGCTCGGATCTGTCATTAGCCCGCATGGTTTTTCATACCACTGCTACGCTGACGACACCCAATTAATTCTGTCCTTTCCCCGCTCAGAGACCCAGGTCGTCACACGCGTCTCTGCTTGTCTAGCAGACATCTCTCGTGTGTGTGTGTGTGTGTGTGTGTTTGTGTGTGTGTGTGTGTGTGTCTGTGTGTGTCTGTGTGTGTGTGTGTGTGTGTGTGTGTGTTTACCAGCTGCAGGTTTCTTCTTCTTGGTCACTGCTCCTGAGTCAGTTTGTTTGCTCGTCGCCGCTAGACAAACACATTTTAAAAAGTTCAACGCAACGAAAATGATAAATATAATAATAACACATGATAAATAATGTATTTACTATGTGTGTGTGTGTGTGTGTGTGTGTGTGTGTGTGTTTACCAGCTGCAGGTTTCTTCTTCTTGGTTGCTGCTCCTGAGTCAGTTTGTTTGCGCGTCGCCGCTAAACAAACACATTTAAAAAAGTTTAACGCACTGAAAATGATAATAATAATAATGATATATGTGACCCGCTCTATCGAAATCAGTCGGAAGTCGCAACGGCTCATTTCTAAATAAATGTGGATTTGCGCAAAAAAATAGTTTTTCGGGGTTCGGGTGTTTTGTTTGATTTTAAATAAACAAAGTCTTGGCTTTCAGAATATGAAACTTTTATTTCCAACATCACACGATAAATACATGTTTGAAGCTTGTAAAGGGAAGATGACAGCTCTCACTCGCACTCTGCTCTTCCGCTCTCCCTCCCTCCGGCTGACATTATGAATGTAAGGCGTATAGTAATCATAGATAACACGGCAGGGTCCGTTACAGTTTGTTTTCATCTGATTTCAAATAAAATCAAAGTCTTGGCTTTCAGAATATTAAACTTGTTTCGGCAAATTCAGATGATAAATACAACTTTGAAGCTTGTAACGGCGTCATTACAAGCGGAGAACGGAGTAACTTGACGTCACAGCAGGCATAACAACAGCCGGTGTTTCTCGTGAGTGTTTCCCCGGGAAACAAATACAATACACACAAATGCAAAAATACACACACACACACACACACACACACACACACTCACAAGCTTCCCCCAGACCAGTAATCCAAGCGAAAATATTTTCCCTCCGCACTACTTTGATCATGTATTAGCTGCTAATAATCAATCAGATCGATGGATTCCAGAGAAGAGGAAACTTTGAAGGCCTTTTTCTCAACATGATGACAGTCATTATATAATGTGACATATTTAGCTTAATATTTGGAGTACAAAAACAATCCTGATATCATTAGAAAGTCAGGAATCTCTTCTTTCCAACAGTGTATACAACTCAAAATTTGTCTTCGGGTCAATGCGACTGATTTCGATAGAGCAAGTCACACATTATAGGGCCATATCTATACAAAACATGTCTCTGAAGTCTTTTGCTCAAAATACCCAACAGATCATTCCAGCCTCATCCCCCTCTATTGATGATTCTGGCCCATTGAATGTAACCGAGCTGCTGCTGGCCACGCCCCTTTGGAGCTGCTGCTGGCCACGCCCCTTTGGAGCGTCCGCATGTAAGCAGTGATCTCTGTGAAGAGAAGGCTGTCTAGCAGCAGAAACTCAGCTAAATGCTGACGTGATTAAACTCCATATCATGTTCCAAACCACATCAAGGATTATTTCTGAAACAGTATGGAGCTCAAGCGCTTTCTCTCTCGCGGGTTTACGTCTACGGAAACGTGCACAAAAATGTGTACTGAAACATGTTTGGAAAACGTGTACGGAATCCGGTACGGAAACTGGTACAGAAGCACAACGTGTACGGAAATTGTGTACAAAATGTGTTCAGGAACATATTAGGAAAACGCGTCCGGAACCATGTACGGAAACATGTCCGGAAAAGTGTAAGGAAATGTGTACTGAAATGTGAACGGAAGCGTTATGTGTATCATATAAATCATATACACAATGCAATTTGTTTAACAGTGTTTTCCAGGGGTCTGCTCTGGTTCTGTTTTCTGTCTTATAAGTTATTTTGGATCAAACTCATTTTGCGTCTGCCACCAGCGACTTCGGATCCTGTTTCATTTTGTACTGCTATGAAATAAGTTAAAGAATAATTTAAAACGTTTCGAGAAGGACACGCCCCCCGCTGAGCTGACCAAGATTTATTTCTACATTTAGTTATTTCTGACCTTTGTTTTTCTGCAGGAGTTTCTTCAGCTCCTTGATCTCTTTGAGCGGCTGCAGCACGGCAGCGTCCAGCCTGGACAAGATCTTCATCAGGCGGTTGATAAGTGCAATGGATCCCTCGGGGCCGTAGTACTGGATGATGACGCTGGGCATGTCGCCCGGCGGCAGCCCCCCCTTCACCTCCTGAGGGATCTTCTCCAGGTTATCTAGAAGTTTCTGGAACTCGTCGTCCGTCAGCTCGTCCAGGATGGAGCTCAGCGCCGTCCTCCACTTCGCCTTCAGGTCCATCTGAGCACAAACAGGAGGAGGTGGGAGGTAACTAAGTACATTTATTCAAGTACTTTACATAAGAACAGCTTTGAGGTACTTGTAGAGTACTTCTACTCCACTACAGTTCAAAGGTAAACGGTGTACTTTTTCTCCACTACATGTATTGTACACCTTCAGTTACTTCACAGATGTGGATGAATGATGTGAAATCTAATCAAGTGTTAAATCAGACTTTAGTTCCACCTGGAGTAAATCCACAAGCTACCCTGCAGTATACAAAGTCATTCAAACTAGCTGCACCTTTTCCAGCTTTGAGAACACTTTCATGATCAATCATTATAAAACATATCATAGATATTATTCTGAAATGGACCAATCTGCACAATGACTACTTTTACTGTCGCTACTTTAACTATATTTTGATGAGAATACTTTTCTACTTTCACTTGAGGAACATTTTGAATGCAGGACTTTTACTGTAACAGAGTATTCCTACACTCTGGTACTTCTACTTTTACTCAAGTACTAGATCTGTGTACTTCTACTTTTACTCAAGAACAAGATTTGAGTACTTTTTACTGTAACAGAGTATTCCTACAGAAAATCAGAATCAGAAATGGGTTTATTGCCAGGTAGGTTCACACGTACGAAGAATTTCACTTGATGAAATTCTTCTGATGATGGTGCATACATAAAATATAAAACAAAAAATCTCTGGTACTTCTACTTTTTCTCAAGCACACGATCTGCATTTTATTTATAGAGCGTTAGTAGTAGTGTACTAACCCTAACCTCTCAGGATATATTTTACTTTTTCTTTTCCCATTTTTCAATACTGATAGGATTCATGGTTTTCACCGAACAGGAAGGAGATATACCTCTGAAGTGAAGTACAGTAAAAGTTTAAAGTAGCAGGGAATACTAAAACACCTTAAAGTAACCCTTAAGTAAAATCATAATTACATGTTACTCACAGATAGATTTTCTGAACAAGCTGAGTGTGAACTTACTGCGTCTCTTCCTTCAACCTCAGCCTGGGTTTTGACACTGGGTAGATTTTTTTATCAGATTTATAGAGAGGAAGTCAGAGGAGAAGGAAGTCAGAACCTGTTTGGATCCTACTGAAATCTTGATTTGCTGTCAAGTTGGAACAGTACAAATATGTAAGGGAGTCCCCCTCTCCAGTGAACAATGGTTTGGTTTATAGTTTCCATCCAAAATAAAACATTACTTATAGTGAAAACCACCGTTGAATGATGGGATAGTAGACTAAAAGCTTTAGGAATCCAAACTATAACATATAATAAGTACCCTGTATCAAGATTGATGCAAAACAAGTGACATTTGACCTTTTTAGAGATATTTACTGACAGTCAGGTACCTTGGTGATTTTGGTGAACTGAGTTGAGACACTTTCCTAAAGTACTCATTGGGCTTCATGTTGTTAACGTCTCCGACTGAAAGCTCTTTGCTCTGCTTGGAGACCAGGGGACACTAAAGAGTGACGCACACAGCTGGGAGACCAAGGGACACTAAAGAGTGACGCACACAGCTGGGAGACCAGGGGACACTAAAGAGTGACGCACACAGCTGGGAGACCAGGGGACACTAAAGAGTGACGCACACAGCTGGGAGACCAGGGGACACTAAAAAGTGCCGCACACAGCTGGGAGACCAGGGGACACTAAAGAGTGACGCACACAGCTGGGAGACCAGGGGACACTAAAAAGTGACGCACACAGCTGGGAGACCAGGGGACACTAAAGAGTGACGCACACAGCTGGGAGACCAGGGGACACTAAAGAGTGACGCACACAGCTGGGAGACCAGGGGACACTAAAGAGTTACGCACACAGCTGGGAGACCAGGGGACACTAAAGAGTGACGCACACAGCTGGGAGACCAGGGGACACTAAAAAGTGCCGCACACAGCTGGAGACCAGGGGACACTAAAGAGTGACGCACACAGCTGGGAGACCAGGGGACACTAAAAAGTGACGCACACAGCTGGGAGACCAGGGGACACTAAAAAGTGACGCACACAGCTGGGAGACCAGGGGACACTAAAGAGTGACGCACACAGCTGGGAGACCAGGGGACACTAAAAAGTGACGCACACAGCTGGGAGACCAGGGGACACTAAAAAGTGACGCACACAGCTGGGAGACCAGGGGACACTAAAGAGTGACGCACACAGCTGGGAGACCAGGGGACACTAAAAAGTGACGCACACAGCTGGGAGACCAGGGGACACTAAAAAGTGACGCACACAGCTGGGAGACCAGGGGACACTAAAGTGTGACGCACACAGCTGGGACTGGAGCGCTTGGTGACGTTCAGGATTATAAAGCTGGATTGGTTGGTTATTTAGTTGAACTTTCTGCTAATAGCGCAAAGTCGCCTTCAAAATAAAATCATGTTTATATATAACAGGAAGTTACGTTAAGACATGTATACAATCGCAATGAAATTAACAAAAACAATGCCATGTCCTTTTCAGGTTCAAAGAACACACATTGGGTTATTTACATAAACTATTCATATTGCAAATACATGTTTTAACCAGGAAGGGAAGACGGACATGGACATGACCCATGTGATCTGCAATATCGCAATTTATCGTATTGCAATACTTAGCATATCGTAGAATCGCAATACTATCGTATCGTGGCTTAAGTATCGCAATTTTCTAAATTGTTTATTTGAATAGGGACAGTGCACATTAATGAACACTTTAGACAAATAATGCTTCAAGTGCCGGATTTTAGCTTTGAGCTCATTTCCATCCGTAGTCCCTGACATACAACATATAAGAACATGACATTTGTAAACATAGCAAAACATAAATACATGATATGCAAAAGAGCAAGAGCAGCACACACAATAATTAACCACATGGCAGCACAATGTAGCAGCAACGACATATTAAGTGCAAGAGAGGATACAAGAGATGCATAAAGTGCAAGAGGAGATACCCCAGTGTTAAAGTGCATTTAGCGGTGATTACA